AGCCAGACCCAAAAAGAGGAACACGGTATGTATTCACTCATAAGTGGATTCTAACCATAATTAAAGGTCTTTGAGCCTATTATTCGTGATCCTAGAGAAGCTAAATAAGAAGATAAACCTGATGAAGATTATTTAGCTACCCGCCAGGAGGTAGGAAATAGACAAGAGTCCCAGGTAACCTCGGGTGCCTGGGGGGGGGGGTGGGAGGGTTGTTGGAAGGGGAGAGGGTTAGAGAGAATGGAGTAGGGGAGGAATGGGGAAAGCTCGGTGGCCTGGGAGGGGGAGAGTGAGGAAGGATGAATATGGGATCAGGGAAGAATATATTTTAAATAAGGGAGTCATTTTAGGGTTTACAGGAGACTTGATTATATATGGGATCCCAGGTCCAAGGAGAGATCCCCAGATTATTCTCTGGACAGAGGAGAGGGTGCCTGAACCGGCCGTGGCCCATAACCATACTGATGTATATTTTGCTTATCACCATAGATCCTTCATCTGGCAAAGGACGGCAATACAGACGGAGACCCACATTGGAGCACCGGACTGAGCCCCCCAAGGTCCAAATGAGGAGCAGAAGGAGGAAGAACATGAAAAAGAAAATCAGGACTGCGAGGGATGCTATCACCCACTGATACAAATGAATGGATCTAATGAGAGTTTACCAAGGCCAGTTGGACTGGGACTGAACGAGGACGTGATCTAACCAGATTCTCGGAATTTGGCCGGATTCTCTGAATGTGGCTGGCCCGAAGTCTTTCTGAAAAGCCATTGACTATGATACTGGGACTTGTTTCCTCTGCATATACTGGATTTTGGGGATCCAGTCTGTTTGGATACTCACCTCCTGGACCTGGAGGGAGGGGGGAGGAACTTGAACTTCCCACAGGGCAGGAAACCCTGACTGCCCTAAGGGCCGAAGAGGGAGGAGGAGAGGGAGTGGGGGGAGAGGGAGGGTGGTGGGAGGAGGGGCGGAAATGGAAGCTTTTATAATTTAATATAAAAAATAAAAAATAAAACAAAACAAAACAAAAAAAAGATTGCTTCCCTTGAAAACAGTGCTCATTGAGGAGAGATTCCCTCTGCATGTTCTTCAGAAACTCTCAGCACAGGGGAGTTTAATGCATCATTTGCAGAGGTTATGTGCAGATGGAGTTAGACAAACACAAGGAGGATGACCAGGTAGCTCTGCGTCATGCACTTCTGATAACACCGTTCATGTCCAACAGCCACAGGCTCTGCCAACTTCAAAAGAACAAGCAAGGGCTAATCCCTTCCTCGAAGACATCTGCTCTATTCAGGGTAAGGAGAGAAGAGATCAGCGAGAATGCTGTTCACTCCTGAATCCTACCAGGGTTGGAACAATGGGAATGGTGAGGAGATGTGACAGCGGGCCCAGGCGGCATCCACCTGAAGAAGCACGAGTCCCCAGCTCTTACCCCAATATGGCTGCATTTGTCTCAGTTCATTTCTCTCTGGTTTCATCCACCCTGTTTTCAGGAACTTAGGCCACTCCCCAAATGCTGACAAGTCAAATGAGTCGGTTGTTTCAGTGCACACATGTGCCTTTCCATTAGACATTTTAGTTTGGGTAAAAAAAAAATAAAGGGACTAATACCCTGCCACATAGGCCAACAGATACAAGGCATGGAGAGAAAGAGAAAATTCTTATCATCTTTCTCTGTCTTGTTCAAAATACAGTCCCAGAGTCTACCAATCTAGCATAATAAAGATTTTCCTCAGTTGCTTACTATGGTGAGCTACATGCCTAAGCGTGGGGAAGCTTGGTAGTCTTCTAGCCATGGAGGGAATTTATCTAAGTAGCTGCTGTGTGGTTCTCTCTACAGCTCCCGTGGGTCCTGTGATTTTTATTTGTGCCACCGTCTTCCTTCTTCCACATATCCCTTCACCATTCTATTCACCTCCGAGCAAAGTTCTTTAAAGTAACTCGCAGTCGTCTTTGTTTTTGTATTTTACATTTTGTGTATGTGCTTGTATATGTGGATATGGGCACACAACATGCTGAGCTTGTGTGTGGCAGTCAGAGGGTTATTTGTGGGAGTCAATCCTTTTCCTCCACCATGTGGTTTCTGGGGATCAAACTCAGGTTGTCAGCCTTGATGGTAAGTGCCTTTACCTGCTGAGCCATCTCCTGAATCTTTCCTTTTTTGCTCAGTAAAATTCCAAGTCCTTGATCGTGTCCTATAGGGTCTATGATATGACTTTGATGTCTTCTAGAATTACTCTTCTTGCTTACTCTATGCATACTGACTCTCTTTACTGTTCATAGAATATTCTAAACACGCCCTTTCTCTTTTCAGGCCTCTTCTTGTTCCCCATGTCTGGACTCCTCCTCCAGACATCGGCATGATTTGCTCTGTCACTATCTGCAGATATTTGCTTAAATATCATCTTGTCACCAAGTCCCTTCTGGCCACCTGGCCTTCTCTAATTCCCCCAAGACAGCTTTATCTTTTTCATACGGCTTTAATTCAGTAAGATGCATTTATCACCCCTGGCATTTGCTTATCACCTCCCTCCCTCAACAACATAGGTCCTTCTATGCTCTGCATCTGTATTACTGTCACTTAGAATATCAACCACTGCATGGGCAGTTTTGAATGAATTCAATGCATGATTATCATGCATGTGCTTATAGAAGACTGCAGGGAGGATATGTGGCAGGGTCGGCGTGAACTGAGACATTTTTCATAAGGTGGTAAATTTTACACTGCCTCTTCTTCCATTCATATTTATACCAGAAGTTCCTCTTGAGTCTTCTTGACGACAGGCACCATCCTAGGATAGAAGGATGTAATTGTCATGAAGATAGTCAAGGGCTCTTATTGTGGAACTTAGAATCTATTTGGAAAGAGGTAAGAAAGCCAACCTATAAAACCAAGAAAAACATCTGATAGTGGCATACACTATACAGAGACCTAAATTAATGTGACTTTAAAGGAATATGTAGGGTTGACTTTAGGTCCTTCTAAAAAGTGGAGGGAAGAGGGATGGTAAGAAAGTATTCTTGTGAAGAGTAAGGGAGGCACATACAGCTTTGCAGTCAGATAGCAGGGAAGAAAGATCTGAGGTTAGACTGGAGAAGTCCTAGGAATGAGCAAGATTCAGCAGGCAAAGATGGGGAGAACCAGCCAAGAAGAAGGGGGAGGTGGAAGAGAAGCACAACCAGTGGAAAGAGCATCCTAAGCAAAGGGCAGGAGGAGCAGAACAGGCTTTCATGGCTGGGGGACTTGGAGCTTTGTTTCTCTCGGGTCCAATGCATAACTGAAGATAAGCCAGTCTCTCATGAATTCCCTGCGACCACATCTTATTGCAGTTGAGGAAAGACAACTGTTCCCTAGAAAACATATCTCCCTGGAGAAGATGTATAATTAACTGCCCACAGAGAACTGAAGTACAAGGCCCATTCTTGGAAGATTCAGATAACATGCATTTGGGCTTCTGATAGGCTTGCAGTTGGGAAGCGAACGCTACTTGGTGCATTTCACTTTTAATCTCACAGATACCCCACTCCCTTGCCTGGTTTAGATGCTGTACTCTGGCATGTGCAGGTGAAGGCACTCTGGGGTTCATGCCTTCTCTGTGCTCACTGCTGTATGCACCCAGCACCTCACTGAGGGCTCCTTTCACCGTCTTCCTCTGGCTACTTCAGTCTTCACCAATGGCTAGCTCTAATTTACAAAGCAGACTTTTATTCCTTTTATTTTTCTTTCTCTGCCGATCCCAGTGGGTGGCTTGTTTTTGGGGAGGCTGTCCTGCACTCAACTTCCTCCTCGCTCAGCTGACAGAAATGATGTACCACAGACTCAAAGACACAGCTAACGTGTTCAGATACTTTTCTCTCCCTAAGGTAATTGAGTCCCCCAAAGAATGTCTAAGTCCTTGGGAATCCTGACAGGTTGCGGAGTTTGTAACAATTGGGGAAGCTGTTATCAGTACAGCCAGAATCCCCAGAGAAGGCACTGCTGAAGCCATGTCAGAGGATTTAATTTAGGCTCCCATTTATCACGTAAATGGTGACTTATGAGCAACTGTTCAGTGTGTGCTTCATAATGGCTCACTGCTGACTGACAGCGTTCACCAAGATTGAAGCCATTTAGAGGTGATTACTTCCGAAACCACATTTGAAATCGTCATGAGGTGTACTGAGATAAACTATTTATCCAGGAGGCGACAAATGGAGGGTGAAATTTTCTTCCTCTAGCAATGCTTAGATAACACATGATGTACTTCTCTACCTCGAAGCCCTGTTACATATTCATCACCTGACACAGAAACACGAAGTTGAGAGCACCTGACAGCTAAGATTTCCATGGTAAATGAGGCTGAAAACTTCTGAATAAACAATATTATTTGCTTTAGAAGCCACCGACTTTAGGTTTTGGGTGTCCAAGATACATCCAATATTTTTCCATCACGTGGCAAAAGTAATAAAATTGCTGAGGGTGGTGAACTTTAGTAACGATGTGTGTAGTTACTGTCTTTGAAGGAGCAGCACACACAGAGGGGGTGGGGTTAGGAAAAGGCACAGCACTGGTGTACGGAGGGAGGAAGACATCTCCACACAAGCACACACTGAAAGGTAGGGTGATGGAGGCTGCCTGCCTGCCGAAAGGAAGTACCGTGAAAGTTGATCTTGATCTGAGATGCAATGCATCCCTGTGGGTGATAGCTTAAGGCTAAAGCCTCAGCAACTTTCATCTTTTTGGTAGGAATACAGACTAGGAAAAGGTAAAAAAAAGAAAAAAAACCCTTGTTGTGAAGAAAAATATGAGAAATACCAGGCAGAGTCCATGAAATAGAAACATAAATATGAAACTGCCAAAACTAACCAAGTCATTTCCATTTTCATGCTTTTCTTTCCTCATATTTAAAGAAATAAAAATAATATGCAGCTTAAAATTCACCTTTGCTGCACCCACATTGTGATAAGAAGCAAACACTGCCTATTTGGATGAAGATGGGAAAGAGGTGACTATTACCTGGAATTCCAATCCATAATTTTCTCTGCAAAATTCTCGCAGTTTGGGATACACAGTTTCTCTTAGTGCCTGCCGTTCTGCTCCTGTGTCTGTAACAGAAACGAACACGTGTCAAGTGAGTATACCAACATATATATTCCTTGGGAAATGAAGGACTAAATAAAAATATAAATGCAATCAAGATGGGGGCCCCAGTTGTCAGCTGATGTGATCTCTGTCTGCTGGGCTATTTTTACAGAGATCCATCTACTAGGCCTGTGAAAATCAGTCTAAGGGATGGACAAAGCATCAACTGCCAGCTCTGTGCAGCCAGCAAGGCTGAGACCCTAGAGCTGATTGTTCATGCCCAGGTAGGCGTTTAAACTCTACTTTTCAACATCCGTGCCGCACTGTCTTTGGAGGAAGGAGAAGGAAGCACTGTTTGATTATCAGATATCCGGGCTTAATACATCACAAGTATTTAAAAATACACAGGTTGATTGGTCTAGTTATAAATATAGAACTATCTGGACTATACTATTATTTCCTATAGTGTTTAGAAATAATTCAGTTTTTTTTATAAAGTTAAGCACAGCATTCATGCAATCAGCACAATGTTTAGGAATAATACACGATTGAAACCACTATTAGCAACTATCAGATTCCACTGTGTGAGTAAGTAGGCCAGCTGATCCACAGGATGACAGCTCCTACCCAGAACTTAGGGATGTCCCGCCGTATCACAGACAGGGATTGTTTTACAAATGCTGTATGACATAGGAGCTCTGAAATAAAATATTCTTATTCCCAGTTGTTAGAAAATCCAGAAAACAATAGAGAATCTGAAACCAGAAGAGTTGCTCAATAAGTATTATGTGTTTAATTTTAAACATTTTGGAGAGAGAGAGATTCCAAAGCTTTCTGTTTCGCATTCTGCGTTAGTGGTGACATCCTTGAGATTCTTGCTGCCAAGAATCTGTTGCTTGCTTGACTAACTGACTTCAGTAAACAGTCTTCAAGAATTAGGTTAATGTGGTATCTTATGAACAGCATATTTACTAAATGTACCTCAATCCCAGCTTCAATATGAATTACCCGCACATCTCATTTATAACAAAGATAATAAATTAAAAGAATATCCTTGTTATTCCCCAGCACATCTGCCCATGAAAACTCAGCCATATGCTGCGCTGACCTACCCTATTTTCCTACTGTTCTCCAGCCTATTTTGAGAAGCAAATAACCAATCACGGCTCTAGAATGCAGCTGTAGCCCTGCAGCATTGCAGAACCAGTGTTTACAGGAAGGCCAGAAGCAGAGGAATATAAGGTTTTCAGATAATTTGTAACCTGAGCAAACAGGGTCTTTTCCCATCTTAAAGCCAATGTGGTCCAGAGCCCAAAGGGAAAGAAATTCAGGAGGACCACACCGAGCAAACCCTGCGCTGCCACAACATTGCTGGAGGCAGCATATTAAGCTTTTGTATGATTTATGTAATCTTGGGATTGGATACCCACCGTCCCTTGACCTATTTTAAGAGCTGAAAACATTAACTGTGTAATAACGCTGATAATGGTCAATATCTCTTGAAAGTCTTCACATATTTTTAAAATCAAATCACTGAAAGGTCATTTAAAAAATGAATACTAGCTGGATGTGGTGGCCCTGCGTCTTTAACCCCTGCACTTGAGAGGTAGAGGCACTTGAGATCTCGTGAACTCAAGAGAGTATGATGTTTTCTATACAGGAAGTTCCAGGATAGCTAGGGCTACAAAGAAAGGTCTTGTCCCCAAAATACAAAAGTACTAATAAATACTACACTGCGTGGAAGTCTAGAGCTATGTTAAATAAGGATTATTGCCATGAAATTTTAAAAATTGATGTTTGATATATGACATAATTATGGTATGATATGAGGAACATAAAAACTGTCACTGTAGTTTTTATTACTTGGTGGTAAGAGTTTGATGTACAACAGCAAGGAAGAAAAGAGGAATATAACACCTATTCAGTATGATTTATTGAGTCTTTATGATGGTCTGTTAGTGTGCCAATTGATACTGTATGCATTTTCTTAAGCAATTTATAACAATAATTCCGTGGAAGGATTACATTAAGTGTGTGTTTTCCTGCTTTTAATTAGAAAAAAACCCAAATCATAGAAGTGTTAAGAAAGTGCCCTAAGTTAGGTAGTCAACCTTAGACCCAATTCAGGCAGCCTCACCAAGAATTACTTTGTGTTAACAAAAGAAATAGATACCTGTGAAAATAATCAACCGTTGAATATAGTCCATGCAATAAATTATGCTATGGTTAAAGGATGTGTTAAATAAAAAAATGTTAAGGTTAGAGACCTTGCTTACCATGAATAAGCTGGTTTTATCCTCAGTCCTTCCAAGAAAAAGAGTAAAAAAATATCAAGTCTATAGTATGACTTTCTCCTTTGGAGTTAGCAGGCCTAAAATTCAACCAGAAGGGTGTTAGTTACCCTGCAACTATCATGGCATTAGGCACAAGTGGGCTCAACTTGCTTGGCAGGTTGGTGTTATAACCCATAGGGTTTTGGTAGTGTGGTTGACCCCTTGATGACTTTTCTCTCCTAACAGTGTGCATATCTCTTTTCAGTATGGTTAAAGCTAGCTAGCAGGGAGGGACCTTTGAGTTCACTTACAGCTTGATTTCTCTGGCCTCTGTAGTGTCATTCACAATAAGGACTTACCATCTAGTTCTAGTGGGAAATCAATAGCTGTGATAACAGCCTATACTGTTTTTGGGGGAGTCTGAAGTATCACTGACCAATAACTCACTGGAAGGATCCCCACACCTGGCACTGTTTAATAGCTATAGCTTCTGGGACCAGCATCATCTATCCATGATTTTCAGGGTATCTTAAACATATATGTATGCATGTGTATAAAAACATATTATATATATTATATTTAGATTTTTTGTTTATTTGTGCATGCATATGCATGTCTGTGTGTGTGTGTGTGTGGTGTGCTGCATGCATGTATATCTATACATCATGTGTATCCTCAGTGACTACAGAAGTCAGAAGAAGACACTTGTTCTCCTGACACTGGAGGTATAAACAGTTGTGAACGATCATGTGGATGCTAAGAGCAAAAACTAGGTCCTCTGCAAAAGCAACAAATCATCTGAGGGGTGGGGCCCTCTCTCTCGCCCTGAAGTTATATTTTAAAATCAGCGTTTGAAATAGTGCAATTCCATTTGGCTGTTTCATGCGCCCTTAGTGTTGGCTACCTATACTTCCCATACAGCGTCTCCCATGTTTGTGCTCTACTATCCTCGCTCCCTTAAGACCTCCCTCTTCATTTATAGATTCCTGGTTGCTATAGGCACTCTAAGTTAAACACAGAAATCAAAAGTTTGAAGCCAAGATATGTATATGAGAACTTGAAGCTTCTGTTTTTCTAGGCCTGACTAAAAGAAAAAAATTCATTCATGGTACCTACCATAAGTCTGGTCAAAAGCCTGTGGCTAGGAAGGTCCTAGGGAAGAGTTTCTCACTGTTATCTTTCTATATGAACACGGCATCACACTGCCTTCTAAATATTTCTGTTTATCCCCACGGTTTAGGCTGCTCTCAGCCTCAGAGACACTTCTTCTTGAAGGAGAAATTAGTTAATGCAGAGATTTCTAACTGGTGAAACTGCTGAGAATAAGTGATTGTTGAGTTCTCAGCCCTTAGCAGGACATCTGTATCATTCTCTCTAAGACCAGGGAAATATCAGAAGGGGCAGAGAGAGCAGAAGACCCATCAGATAACAAGCAGATCATGAAATTCTCTTTTCTCAGTAAGACATGACTGTGGCACTCACAACCTCACAGTGCCAGTATCTGCCTTCACAAGACAGCCCATTTGGATGTGGAGAGATGTCTCAGTGGTTAAGAACACTTGTTTTTCCTGTAGAACTCCTGTGTTTGGTTCCAAGGACCCACATGGTGGCTCACAGCCATCCATAACTACATTTCCAGGGGATTCAATAACTTCTGACCTGTGTGGGCACCTTGCATATGTGTGGTACACTTATGTAATTACAGGCAACACACTCAGATAGAGAAAAAAGATTGAGTCCTTCAATATTCCATCATGGATTAGGGAAGGTCCCCTAAGATCTTATCCCTGAAGAACTTTAGGCAGTTAATGGTTGGGTGGGGCATGCGTGTGATATTCCTCAGTGCTAACCATTGATTAGTTTTCCTTGATCAAAGAAATAACCTCCCACCCATGCTCAGGAAGACGATTCTAATCAAACACAGTGGGTCATAAACAAATGAAAAAGAAGGAAGGAAACATGAGAAAAAGAAGAGGTTTGTGGGGGAAGAAGGGGAAAATGAGAAAGACCACGATCAAAGTCCATATATATGTAGTAAAATTAATTAAGAATAAAAAGTTTGTTTCCCTCTAGGATGCTCCCTTTAACAGCCAGATCCTTAGCAAGCTTTCCTGTTCTGCTCTTAAAGCTTCAATGAATCTAGTTTCCTTAACCCTGGTTACAAGTCAACAACTTCTCATTTGGACTTTGTCCATTTTCCATACTGGAATCCTCCAGTACATTCACTATAGAGTCTCCAGACTGGTCTTTTCAAATGTAGCTCAGATCACATGTCTTGGATGAAAGTCCCACTCCTGAGATTGAATACTCTCTCTTGCCCTAAGCTTATCTCCCAACACTTTTGATCATGTCGCCCCAGCACTGGACTTTCCTGCCCTTGAGTTAGATTTCTATACTGGGTCTTGATCATGCTATGTCCTGGTATACCTGGTACTGTCATCAGCTCATGACCTCTTGTGTCATTTGAGTGCCAGCTTCAAGGCTACCTCCTCAGGGAGGCATCCTTGGAGCACTGACTACAGAAGCCAATGCGTGCTCAGCAGACTTTCTTTTGTTTCTCCCCCAACTACTCCACGGTGATTATCATTATAAATCCATACATGAACCAGTACAAAATTAAGCCGATGGACACCGTGACTCTGCAATTATCCTTAGAAAGGCTTCCTTTCTGCATTACAATTCTTCTCTGGACAGATGTAAAGGCTGGAAAATGAGGAATTTTATAAAATATATGGTCAGAGTAAAAATAT